GGGGAGGGTGACACAGGGTGGGGGGGTCATGGGGTGGGCTGGGGAGGGTGACACAGGGTAGGGAGGTCATGGAGGGGCTGGGGAGGGTGACATGGGGTGGGGTGTATCACAGGGTGGTCATGGGGTGACTGTAGAGGGTGTCCCAGGGTGGGGTGGCCATGGGGTGGTGGATTGGGGAGGGTGACACAAGGTGGGCATCCGAAGCTGCTCCCTACAAGGCTGCAGGCCCTGCTCCCAGGCTGGAGTTTTCCAGGAGCACAGATCCCACATGGATCTGGGGATCCCCATCCTCCATCCCCTCTCTTCCCAGCACTCCCCCTGCCCCATCCTGCAGCGAGCAAAGCACTCACTGTTTCCTGCTGACATTCCAGAAGCCAATTAATTTCTCTCCCCTCTCCTTGGCATCTGGTGTTCCTGAAATCCGAGTTCACGTCTCCCGTGGGATTTTTTTTTCCCCCCCTCCCTTTCTAAAGGTCGGATTATTTATTTTTTTTTTGAAGCCTAATGAAATAATATCCTGTCCCAAGTGAATCTGAGTTCACTGATTCCTGAGACAAGGCAAAAGCATTGGCTGGGCTCCAACCTCCTCCTCCTCCTCCTCCAGAAAGTTTTTGTGTGAGCAGCTCTTGAGGGAAATGAGAAGTGGCTGGACAGGAGGAGCATGGAGGCCTGGCAGGGACTGCACCCCTTCGCTCACTAATCAATTTGGGATCAACTTAAAAGGAGCAGGGATGCCTGGTGTGGTGTTAGAGCTGGATAAATGCACCCATCCATCATCTGTCCCTGAGAGCCCTGCTCATTGCTTGGAAATATTTCCATATGTTGAAAGGCCTGTGTTTATTTTGCTTAATGAGTTTCTTGGCTTTTCCTCTTCTCTCTCCTCCGGTGTCGGAGGAAAGATCTTTGGAGCAGGGGACAGGAGGGGGTTTCCAGGTGCTGGGAAGCACGTAGGGACCCTGCCCCTCCTGCTGCCTGGGATTGGGGTGATGGGCAAGGAGAAGCTTTTCCTAACCTTTGGTGCCAGTCAGGATTTGGAGGAGCTGCCTGGACCGTGGGTCTGGGCTCACCATGGGAAGGAGGAGGAGGAGGAACAGTGGGATTTTTCCTCCTGAGTGCTGCTGGGAGGGAGGAGGATGGCTGGTAACTGGAGAGAGACATTTGGTTTCCTGGCTGTCCCCCAAAACTTGGGAAAACCAGCTTGGAAGTGTCCAGAGAGGAGGAGGCTGCACCATGAGGCTTTAGGACGTTCGAGATAGGATGGGATTAGCTGTGGCTGGGATGGGATTGATCCACCCTGGGGCTCTTGGGTGGCTTTTTTTCTTCTTTGTGGTCATCTGGTCTCATAAGGAATTGGAGGTGCAGGAAAGATTTGGCTGCTGGGAGCAGTGAGGGGCAAACCTGCCTGACAGAGCTGCCTGGGAAAACCTCCTCTAGGTTTTCCACAAGGCTGGATGAGGTTCCTCACCTGGGGCAAACTGCAGTGTCAGAACAGCTGGTTTAGTCCAACCTGGGCTATGACCTGTGCTCACCAACATCTTTCTGACCTTCCCACTTGCCAAACATTTGTGGTGCCCCAAATGCAGGGCATCCACGGGGCAGCTGAATGTCCCCAAACCCCAGAAGAAGTGGGCTCTCTGTCCTTATTTCCTAATGACGGCAATAATTCCTTATTTCCTACACGTTACCCTCAGATTAAACCTTCTCCTGTGACTTGGCTGCACATGGGATGAAATAAATAAGAGAATTAGAGCAGTGGTTCCTTGCTGTGTCTTACCAAGGCAAGGGAAGGACTTCGAAGCCAGCAAAAAAATGGATTTGGGATTTTTTTTGTTAACATTTTGCTTTTTCCCCCCCATTTTCCCTTTTTCTCCCTGTTTTCCTTTCAGCAATCATCATTTTACCAACTTCTGCATGCGGGCTGGCCTGTGAGTATCACTGGTGACTTTTTGTGGTGGGGTCTTTCCTTGGCTTGGCTGCTGAGTTTTCCTTGATCTGTCTTAACAATGTTTGTTTTTTTTTTTTCTTTTCAATCCAGAGAAAACCCGGAGCCCCTGGGCCCCCAGGGCATCCAGGGAAAACAGGAGCACCTGTAAGTAGGAAATCTCAGTGGCTGGGAGCTGCTTGGCCCCGCTGCTGCCCCAGCTCGGCTGGGGATACTTGTAGGGTCGATGTCCCCAAGCACTTGCACAGCCCTGGGCTGTAATTAGGGTCTTTGGGATTGGGTTTCAAAGCAGCCTAATGGTTTCCTTGTCTGCTTCCTGCTGGAACCTGGGGATGTTTGATATCCAGCTCTCTGGGATGTTTGATACCCAGCTCCCTGGGATGTTTGATATCCAGCTCCCTGGGTTTGGCTGGCAGCCCCAGCCCCTCTGTCTGTGCCAGCTGAGCAGTGCTGGCTTCCTTGCCCCAGGGCATCAGGTTCCTGCCCCTGGTTTTGGATAGGGACCATGTGGATCTCTCCCAGAGGCAGAGGAGGCCAGAGGAGGGCTGGGGCAGGGCTGGTGTGGGCACAACCCTGTGCTCGGGGGGTCTGCAGGCCCATCTGTGCCCAACATCCCTCTGTGAGCAGGGCAGTGCCATGGGGCAAAGGAAATGAGGGCAAAACCCTCGGCCCTCATCCCTCATTGGGCACCAGGGAGGCATCAGGAGGCAGGGAACAGGGTCTGGTGCCAACCCCAGACCTGCCCTGGGCACAGCCCCGGTGAATGTGGGCAGGGCAGGGGGTGCAGGGGGATGTGAGTCCTCCCTCTCTGCCCTTCCCAAGGCCAACTCTGTGCTTTGCCCCCCCTCTGGGGGGCTCGGGCAGCCCTTGGGACAGGGCAGGAAGGGTGCTTGGGACACGGTGCTTGATTCCATCCCTGTTTGTCCACAGGGACCCTGTGGAGCCCCAGGAGAGCCGGGGGAGAAAGGCCAGCGGGGGTACACGGTGAGGGCTGGGGGCCTTCCTGGGGGGAGAGCCCAGTTTGGAGGGGTTGAGTGTGTGCTTGGGAATGTCCTGGGATCTCCAGGGACCCTGCCCCTCTTGGATCAGCCCTGGGTGAGGGAGAACATGACGGGTTTGGGGCCGGTTTGGGAATGGTTGGGTTGGGTTTGCCCCCGCTCTGGTTTACATTTGGCCCATCTGCTGGAGCCCACCAGAGGAAGGGGGTGCTTGGGCTTCTTGCAAAACTTCAAAGAGCAATAAATACTCCCTGAAGTTTGGATTAGAAGTGGGATGGGGTGAAAATTCTGAATTTTGGACTGGGTGCCCCATGTGTGTGTGGCCAGGAGTGAGCACAGGGGATGATGGGGCCCTTCAGGGTGGGAGGTGGAAAAGCAAATCTCCCCAAAACAGCTTGGATATTTTTGCAACCAGATTCTTCACTTGAGCAGGAGCTGAGGCAGCTGCATCTTTCTGCCCTTCCTTCAAACTCTGGCTTTTTAAACTAAAACCAAGCCCAGCTTTTGGACTTGACAAAATGTCCCAGAATTTTTGAGAAAACCAAACAATCACAGCAAGTTGAAGGGAAATGTCCTCCCTTTGGTCTAGACTGCTCTTTAACTTGCCTGAATTCAGGATCTTCAGGGAGCTAAGGGCTAAAGTAAAAGCTGCCCCTAAGCTTTAGCTGGTGATGCCCAGTCCAGAGGATCCTGCATGTGGGAAAGCATCAGGAATGATGCTTGGAGCCAAGAAGCTGATGCAGAAGGTTTTCACTTGCTCTTCTGTTACTTACTTCCATGTCGTACAGTCACTGGTTGGGACTATCCCACTGTTTTGGTGGAGAACCTGGGCAGATCCATGTACCAAACACTTGCAGCACCTGGATTCATGAAGCTTTTCCCTGCCAGCCCTGCCCATGTCCTGGCCAGGAATTGCTGCAAAATCCAGAGGCAGGCAGGGCTCAGGGTTTAGTTCGTTGGTATCACAGTAATGTGGATATTTTAATTTTCTGTGCATGGCTTTTTTTCTCCCCAGGGTGAACCCGGGCTCCAGGGCTTGCCAGGACGGGTGGGTTACCCTGGCTCAGATGGCACCCCTGGCCTGGATGGCAAACCTGGGCCATGGGGGCTGCCAGGGGAGCAGGTGAGGATGGGCAGGGCATGGCCAGAGAGCCCAGAAACTCCTGATGCTGCTCCTTGTGTTCTCTTACCTCCTCTAGAATATTCCTCCTAAGCCCACAAACCAGGCAGTCCTGGATTAGGGTTGAGGCTCATGTTCCCCAGAAAAAAAGGACTGTGGAACATCCCAGATGTGCATTAAGGTGCTGGGATAACTGGAGTGCTGCAGCTCCTGGATTGGGGTGGGTCCAGGCATGAGGACTGGAACTTGGAATCATGGAATGGTTTGGGTTGAAAGGGACCTTAAAAATCATTTCCCTGCCATGAGCAGGGACACCTTCCACTGTCCCAAGTGGGTCTGAGCCCTTGAGGGCTCAAAACTTGGAGGTGGATATAGAAATGAGAGCAGTTGTGGGCTGCCTGGCTGACATTCAGTTCAGGGAGCTGGTTCCTTGGGGCTGGGATGGTCCCTGCCCTTTTCCAGACCCTGGGCACCAATCCCTGGGGAATGCAGCACACCAGGGCTTGGGAGCTTCCTCAGGGGGGTTTTAGAGGACCGTGCTGAGGGGTTTGGGGCACTGAGGAGGGGGTGGGACATGGGTGGGAGGTGCTGGGCAGCCCCTCAGTGCCTGCTCTGCTCCTTCCTCTCTCTCCCCAGGGGCTGCAGGGCTTCCAGGGTGACCGTGGGGTGGCTGGAGAGAAGGGAGAGGAGGTAAGTGGGCTCTTGTGGTGCTGTGGGCACGGTGCAGTGCCAACCCCAGCCCCAGCATGTGCCAAGCACTCAGAGCTTTCCTCACTGGTTTCACTGGTACCACACCAGCAGCAGGAGCTGCCAGTGCACGTTGCTGCAGCTCCTCTCCAGGGGATTTGTCAGCCAGGATGTAAAATGTCCATAAAAAGGGGAATGCTAATGGTTTGTCACTATTTATTTATTTATTTTTTTAATCCCTTTTCCCTCCCACTTAGTTTTTTTAAAGCCAAAATTTTTAGGGCTGCCCCAGGGAGATTTTTGGGCTGCTCTGAGGTCTGATCATGCCAGGGCTTTGGCAACCTGATTTCTTCTTTTTGAAACAGCAACCCCACGTGGTTTGTCGTATGTGATATCATATGTATGATATCATATCTCTGTAATTTGATATATTATCATATGTAATCCTATATCTTTTCTGGCCCATCCTTTGTACCCTCCTGCCCATGGAGAGCCCTGTGGATGCTGGGACACCCCTGTGTCACTGCTGTGGGGGATGTAGCTTGGGACACAGGATGAGGGACCAGCACCCAGGGTTTGCTTCTGTGGGGACTCTTTTTATAGCATGTGGGGGGTCCCCATCCCCCTGAACCCCACCAGCTGTGTCCTTAAGCTCCTGATGGTCCAGCTGGAGCTCACACATCCTTGTTCTTCCGTTTTCAGGGTTTCTTGGGTGACCCTGGGCCGGCTGGGGAGAAAGGAGAGAAGGGAGTGAAGGTGAGGGGGTCTGTCCATGCTCTGGGGTCGGGCAGGGAGTTCCTGCTTCCTTGCAGCTCCAGGTCATGCTCTCCTCCATTGCTCAGGCTGCTCTTGCCTTTTCCAGGGGGTGAAGGGAGAAAATGGCCTGCCAGGTCCTGCTGGGCTCCAGGTGAGTGAACAGAGGGTGTCTCACTCCCTGCTGGGCCAGGATTCCTCCTGCCCTTCATCCCCTTTCCTGCTTTGCCCCCTTTGCCTCTCTGATGTCCCCAAGCTCCATCCCTGGCTCCAGCCCATGGCTTTAAGCAAAGCCCTCCTGTTCCCTGTGTTTTCCTGACCCTCCTGCAAGGGGTGGGACAGAGGCAGCTGCCACCTCAGGGTGGGCACTTCCCTGACACCCCCTCCTGGCTTCTCTCCCAGGGGCTGTCAGGTCTGAAGGGTGTGATGGGCTTCCAGGGCCCTGCAGGGCCAGAGGTGAGTGGTTTTACTTCCTCTCTGTCCCCAAAGAGGTGCAGGAGCCTGGTGACCCCACTGGAAAGACAACTCTGAGGAGGGAGGACCTTGGGATTTGCAACCAGGAGCCTCCCCTCCCGACTGACCTCTCCCACCTGGATGTTTGAATCCCAACCTGTTCTCCTGTTCTCCCCTGGCTGGGGATGAAGAGAAATGAGCCTTTGCAGAGTTTCTTTTAGTGGTTTATTGGAGATTTATTTTAGTGGTTTGTTGGAGGTTTATTTTAGTGGTTTGTTGGAGGTGACCACCTTCAGCTGAGGTGAATCCCAGGCTGGCATTGCCTGGCTTTTCCATGCTGCTCCCAGCCGTGTCTTTGGGAGCATCCCAGCCAGGACTGGGCTTGCAGAGGATTTCAAAGGCAAATTGAAGTGGTTTGGTGGTGAATGGAAGCACCTTCCAACAGGAAGGGAGTGGGCCTGGTTGAAGGGGCATCAGGTAGCTGATACTTGATGTGAAGGAAAGGGGGAATTTGGGATGAAGGAGAGAATCAGAGCAAAAATGGTATCTCCTCTCTGCTGTTCCAGGGAGAAGGTGGCTCAGTGGGTCCCCCAGGCCCTGCTGGCCCTGTGGTAAGTCACAGATTTTGGGTACAAACCGTGGCCAAAGCACAGGTGGTGGAGCTGGGCAGGACCACCATGGGCAGGTGGGACCACCCTGTCCTGCCCAGTTCATCCCTTGTGCTGAGTTTTAATCTAAAACCGATGAACTTCATTAAAATCCCCCTTGGTAGTGTGGGGAGGAATTACAAAAGGACCCCAGTAAAGCCCCCCAGTATCCCCATGAGCCCAGGGCTGCCCCTGCTTCCAGGGGAGATGCCCGGGGGTCCCTGTGCCATCCCCTCCTGCGTGGTGAGAGGGCTGAGCAGGGTCTGTCCTCGCAGGGGGAGCAGGGCCAGCCGGGATCCGTGGGGTGCAGAGGCATCAATGGCTCTCAGGTGGGTCTGCCCCAGTTCCCACCCTTTGCCATTTGGGATTTCCCGGTCCCTGTGCTCACCCCATCCCTTCCCTGCTCTCTCCACAGGGGGACATGGGCCCTCCTGGCCCGCCCGGCCCGCGGGGCCCCAAGGTGGGTGCACCCAGGGGTGAGGGCACCTCGTGGGGTCGGGATGTCCCAGGATGGGAGGGTGCTCTGAGGGTGGTCTCCTCCAGCTGGGCTGTGACCCCAGACCCCCAGAAACCCCACAGAGAGGCTGGGGCAGAGGTGGGAATCCTTTCTGTCCCCCTTGCCACGGCTGTGCCGGCTGGCACTGGAGCTCCTCAGCAGCTGGGAATTCCCGGGAGAGGTTCCCCACCCTGGTGCCTGCAGGGCTGTGGTTCTACCACATCTTTCACTGCCTTTCAGGGACCACAGGGACTGCAGGGCAGACGTGGCCCCCCTGGCCCCAGGGGCTCCCAGGTGAGTGGGTGATCCTGGCATGGGTGATCCCCCCTCCCCGAGCTCCTGCTGAGGGATGAAGGAGCTGCTGGGGTTTGTCCCCCGTGTCCTTTGCAAATGGAGGTGAAACCCTTGTTCCTGGGGGTCCTCACGGCCCCCCGGGGGTGGGAAGGGCTGTGTGCCACGGGCAGGATGTGTGGGCAGAGGGGGTGAAGGGTCTCCTGAGGGGAGCTGGGCAGGGGTCCTGTGGTCTGGGGTCTCATCCCCAGAGCAGGGCAGGGAGCAACATCCCTCTTCTCCCAAACACCCCGCTGCCTTTGCTCTTCCCCAGGGTCCAGCTGGGATGGAGGGATCCAGTGGTCCCAAAGGAGACACCGTAAGAGCTTCTTGCTGCCCCCTTTGACCTTGGTGAAGGGGAAGCCCAGGTTTGAGGGCTTTCCCCAGGGGGACCCCAGGGGGATGGAGGGAGGGGTCCCTGCCCCTGCTTTTGGAGGGGAGAGGGGCAACACTTCCAGCAGAGCTTCCAAGTGCCATCTGGAGGTCCCTGCTAACCCTGGGCAGGGTTGTGGTGGGACTGGATGCTCAGCCTTCTTCTCTCTGGTGAGCAGGGACAGCACCCAGGGAACGGCTGAAGCTGTGTCAGGGCAGGTTGGATCTCAGGAAAAGGTTCTTCCCTCAAAGGGTGGTTGGGCACTGACCAGGCTCCCCAGGGCAGTGGGCACAGCCCCAAGGCTGCCAGAGCTCCAGGAGTGTTTGGATGATCCTCTGAGGGACAGGGTGGGATTGTTGGGGTGTCTGTGCAGGGCCAGGGGTTGGACTGGATGGTTCTTGGTGGGTCCCTCCAGCTCAGGATATTCTGTGATTCCAGGATTCTTCTTGCAGGGAGCAGATGGTGCCCCTGGGGGGAGGGGACAGCCAGGCCTGGAGGGCCCTGGGGTAAGTCCATGGATGTGGGGTGCTCTCATCGTCCTCCTCACAGCCCCCCAAAGCCCTGCAGGGAATGCCCTGTTTCCCCCAGCTTCCCCCAGTGTTTGTGGCACCAGGGCTGGGGGGGGTGACAGCCACATCCCTCTGCCACTGCCAACATTCCTCTGCCTCTGCTGCTCTCAGGGACCTCGATTTTTAATTTTTTTCCCCTATGGATTTATCAGCAGAGACATCCCAGCCCTGCCCAGCCCTTCCCCTGTGCACTCCTTTACCAAGGGTTTGGGTGCTGAGCTGCCCTTTCCAAAGGATGAGGATTTTGGGGTGTCCTGACCTCCCCCTGCCTGGCCCACAGTGTCCCTGTTCCTCATGTCCTGAGACCCCAACTCACAGAGCTGGAAGCTGGGGCTTGTGAAAAGGATGTGGGGCGTAGGTGGTGTGTTTTAGAGGCCAACAAGGGCTTTATCCTCCTACTAGGAGGGTTTGTGCCCCCTCTGGAACCTGTGGGGAGCAAATCCCACCATGGCATCAGCAGCTAAACTGGTGCCTCCCATCTATCATCATCCCAGCCCTGTGCTGTGGGAGGGTCTCCTTCATGAGGAAAGTGATACCTCCCCTTGTGTTTTGGGTTTTTTTTTTCACGTGCATTTTGTGTCTTGCTCTGAAGGGGTTTATTGGCCTGCCGGGTCCAAGAGGCGCCCAAGGAGAGCGGGTGAGTGATGGCATCCATGAAATCCCTGCTTGAGATTTCCTGCTCTGAGCAGGAGAGCTGGCTCAGAGCAGCCCAGAACACTAGCTTGTTGCTCAAACAAGTGGCAGCTGCAGTTGTTTGGGAAGGCAGAGCTGCCCTCGGGTTTACCTTGCTGTGATAAGAGGAGCTTTCAGGCACCACCTAAGATATCACCTGCCCTGGGGAGGCACAAGGGAAGAGGGAATGCTTTAGCCTGGATAAGGAGCACAGCAATGAGGACAAGGCACTGTGCTGGCATCAGGGATGCCACCACCAGCTGCTGCAGTTGTCCTGCCTGCCAGGGGACTGCTGGGTGCACTGCAGGTTGCTTCAATGGGGATTGAACCCAAAAGCCCTGGTGCATCCCTGCCACAAGGAGCAGGTACCTGCTCCCAGCTCTGAAAGGCCCATCAGGAGAAAAATTCTGGTTGAAAAAGGGGCAAAACTCCCTTTATTTGATGCCAAAATCGGATCACAGCTTGCTTTGGTTGCAAGGAGGGGCACAGCAGGGTTTTCTCAGTGCACCCTCCACTGCTGCTGCTCTTGCAGGGCTGCCGAGGTCCAGGAGGAGCCAAGGGAGAGCTGGGGACCAAAGGAGACAAGGTACCACATTCCCAAGCTTCTGATACCTCCAATTGCTTCCTCTTTGGTTCTTCAGATGTGCTGTATCCCAGCTGGTGGGGTGTCTGAGGACGCAGGGGACCCAACAGGGACCGTGAGAGCTGGGCAGCTCATCCTGTGCTTGATCCCACCACGCTGCTGCCTCTGATCCATCCTGCCCTGCTCTGCCTCACTTGGGCTGTTTAAAAATGTTGCATTTCCCCACTGTTGGTGCCCTGGGAATGCTCGTGGAGGGAGGGTCGTGGGGTGTTCACCCAGAGCAGCCCCATGCCCCAGGCTGGGGGTGTGGAGAGCCAGGGGATGGGCTCTCCAGGGGAATTCCTGCTGGGGGCCCTGGGCCACTGGCTGTCCCTGCTACTGTGACACTGTGTTTTGTTCTTCCGAGGGTCCATGTGGAGCACCAGGAGCAAAAGGCCCTCCGGGGACCCGGGGCCAGGGGGGCTTGCAGGGCTTTCCTGGCCCCCGAGGGGCGGCGGGGCCGCGGGGCCCAGACGTGAGTGCCAGGGCTGTCTGGGGTGTTGTGGGGTGGGAGATGTGTGTGCCCAGTGCTACACAGGGGGCAGAGGGCAGCCCTGAGGCAGTGCCACACGTGGCAGTGCTGCTGGCACAGGAGGTTTACAGGGTCCCTCCAGAGGGACCCCTCCAGTGGCATCATTCCCCCCCGGCGCTGCTCGGGCACTGCCGGCCCCTGCTCGGCCACGGGCAGCTTTGCCCAGAGCCCTTGGGGCTGCAGGTGCCCCCAGCACCCAAACAGGGCTGCTCCAGACCCCTCTGGCTGGGCCCCTATCCCAAAATTCACTAGTGGGTTCAGCAATGTGAGGGCAGCTTTAGGCAGGGGATTCCCAGCCCTCTGGAGCTTCCTCTGCCTGAGCAGCTCTGCAGGGATCCCTCCGAGTCCCCGCTCCAGGTCAGCACCTTCCCAGCTATTTTGGGAGCAGAAGGCTCACAGGTTGCTCACTTGATACTCCTCTTTGACTCCTGGCAGGCTCTGCCTCCTGGAGCCTGTGCTGGCAGCTCCAAAAGGCCTTTGGAATGCTTTTTCCTGCAGTCTGTGCTCTGAGGGAGCTGTCAGGGTGGATGAACCCATCTCCAGATCAATATTCCTACCTGGGAAGTGAGGCCAGGCTGGCAGGTTATCTCTAGTGGTTTCCAGCTTCTCAGAAGGGGGATTATATTTTCCCACCCATCTTTCCAGTCTGCAGCATCCCCCTGTGGGTGATGCCCTCCCCCATCCCATGTGGGGATTTTGGGATGATGCCTGCCTGGATCTGCTCTCACATTTGCTCTTCAGGATGAGAAGTGAATCCTCCCACCTCTCCAAGAGCTGCAGACTCAGCAGGACTCATCCCCTGCCTTGTCCACCCACCCAGGCAGCACCACCAGCACATGGTGTCAGTCTGGAGCTGGGTTTGAATGGAGCAGGAACTTGGCAATCAGTCCCTTGAATCCCCTTAAATTGGATCAGCAGGACACAAAAATATTCCACTGTGTTGTCAAACTATTGGGCTTTTTATTTCTGCCCAGTTTTATAACCTGGAGAACGGGGGAGGTCCCCATTCCCACCCCAGAACTTGCCTGGTGCCTCAGCTCCCATTGCCACTCCTTGATGCCACCTCTGAGCCCACTGCCCGTGTTTTCCCCCTGCCCCAGCAGCAGGATGGTGGCTGGGGGAGCCAGCAGGACCAGAGGCTGTGTTTGCTTTGGCTGACCCCTCTCCTGTCTCTCCTGGCAGGGGCAGGAAGGCCAGATAGGCCCAGCAGGGCTGAACAGCAGCGAGGGACCCAAGGTGAGCCCCAGGGTTTGCTCCTGCTTTCCCCCTGGAGAACAGGGATGTGGCTGCCCTGCAAGGGATCCAGCACCTGGAGCACCCTCCCAGTGCCCCCCTGGGAGGGTCCCCAGCCTCCTGACCCCCATCCCACTGACCTGCCACCGAGGCAGAGGCTGGATGAGCCCCCTCGGGGTGGAGGGGCTGGGGGCGAAACCTACAGAGTTGCCTAAAATGCCTGTGCTTCCATTTGTGTGGATTTTAGGGAAGCCAAGGACCTGATGGCCCCAAGGGAAGCCCAGGACCGCGGGGAGCCCGGGTAACTAATGGGGTGTTGGTACTTGGGGCTGGATCTTGGAGCTCATTTGGCTGTGGGAGATTGAAACAACCCTGGAGACCCTTTGCTTGGCTTGGGATGTGCTGGGGCTGAGCCACCATCAGGCACCAGATTTGCCTCCGAAAAAGCAGCTTTACTTCTGGCAGAGGGATGTTTTTGTCATGCCTGATGTTTTCCAGGGCCATGTGGGTCAGCGTGGGCTGGTCGGAGTCCCTGGACTGCCTGTGAGTAGGAGATATCCCACATTCCTGTGCTGGCAGGGAGAGGAGCTTCCTGGGATGTGACCAGATTGGAGGGTCGGGCTCTGCTTGGGAATTTGCACAGGATAAGTTGGGGATGAGCAGCTCAGGCTTCTGCACCTTGCACAAAGTGTTTTAACAAACCACCTGCCCCCCAGCGCCACTTCCCTCAACGCTGAGCACAGAAAATTCCAGGAAATAACAACTTTTTGAGAAAGCTGTGTTAGTCAGAGTCATGTTTGGGGAAGGAGCCAGGAATAAATGGCTGGGGCAGGAGGGGGAAAACAACACAGCCGAGGTGTTCCCGGTGGGAACGGGTTTCCTCCCACACTGGCGTTATTTCCAAAGGTGGGGATGGAGCAGGGAGGAGCTGCAGGAGCTGCTTGGGATGAGCTCAATACATACACCAGACAGTGGCACTGCTGGTTTTCCACCTCTTAACTCTGGAGGGAGGCTCTGGGGCTGGAGGAGCCCTTGGTGGGCTCACCCTGGCACCAGGCTCTGCTCCCCTGAGACGAGACTCTCCTTGCAGGGCTCGCGGGGTGTCCCGGGAGCAGAAGGAGCAGAAGGAAAGCCTGGTACACAGGTTCCCATCCTACACTCTGTACTTGGCTCTGGGAGAGGGTTGGGGTGGTGGCTTGGAGCCAGAGGGGGAACTGAGCCCAACAGGGGGGAACTTCCCAACCTCCCAATCCCCATGGCCATGTGGGTCGTGGCCTTGGCCCCGTGTTGGACCTTGCCATGGTGTGGGACTGGGAGAGGCTGTTCCTGCCTCCCCATCCTCATCCTCACCTGCCCTGTCCTGCAGGGTCACCCCGGGATCATGGGCAGCCCGGGCAGGAGGGGATCCCTGGTGAGTAGAGCTGCTTTCTGTCCTTCCTCCCTCCTGCTCAACTCTCTCCCCTTGGGAATGTCCCTCCAAAGCGTGTCCATGGAATGGGGGGCAGGTGCTGGCTGGAGTGATACCAGCCAGAGGGTGCTCCTTTGAGAATCCTGCTGAAGGGGGAAGGACTGGGAACAGGGCACTGTGATTTCCCATCCCTGGCACTGAGCAAATCCAGCAGCAAAACCTGGGCTGGTGGCAAATTTTCCCTCCTGTGGGATTTCACCTATTTATCTTTGCTCTGAAATTCAAAAATAATAAAAAAAAAATAAAAATCTGGTGCTACCCTCAAAGCAGAAGATGAAAACTGGCCTGCCCTTGGTCAGAGAGACCCCCTGAGCACCACACAGCACGTCTGGGTGCATGTGGGGGTGTTGTGTGTGTCCATACACAGTTGTGGGGCTTCCAGGGGGAATCCAGGAGCTGGATTTTAGGGGAAAGCCCCAGTGCTGCCTTTACCAAGCCAAGGCCTTCTGTGCTTTGGGTTGGGCCCAGACCCAGGGCAGGGTCTCTCCATCCTCCTGCTCCTGCCTTCCCTCCACTGCTCACCTGCTGCCCTTTCCTCCAGGGATTTGCTGGTTTGCCAGGAGGCCGTGGGCACCTTGGACCTCCTGGATCAATAGTAAGGGAAAAAAAAATGTTCCTCTTGCATGAATTCTGTGTTTTCTGCTGGTGGGAGATACGGGATTTCCCTTGGGAATCAGCAGCAGATCAGGGTGTCTGTAGGACCTTATCTTACCTTCCTGTTCAAAGACATTAAAAAGCCTCAGCTGCAGGAAAGCTGGGGCCAGGGAAAAGGAGAATCATTCCCCCCAGGAATTAGTCTCCTCCAGGGATTGTGCAGCTCCCCCAAGCCTGGCAGTGTGTCCATGGGGGATGGCAACTCGTGGAAACCCTCCAGCCCTGAGTGGCTGAATAGCAGCTGGTCCTGGGTCCTGGGAGGAGATCCCAGTGGAATTGGGTGGTGCAGGTTCAGGGAGAGGGTGGTTGGGCACTGACCAGGCTCCCCAGGGCAGTGGGCACAGCTCCAAGGCTGCCAGAGCTCCAGGAGGGTTTGGACAACGCTCTGAGGGACAGGGTGGGATTGTTGGGGTGTCTGTGCAGGGCCAGGAGTAGGACTTGGATGGTGCTTGTGGATCCCTTCCAACTCAGGATATTCTGTGATGATGATTTTATGATCTGGGACGGAGACCCAGAGCTGCTCCTGCAGTTGGAAGAGCTTCTCCCTGAGAACTTGTGCTCAGCTGGGCTTGGGAGTGACCTTGAGAGGAGTATTGTCACCTTCCCTGGTGACAACCCTGCCAGCCAGGGGGGGCTGCTGTGCAGGAGCCACCAGGGTGGGCCACAGTGGCCGAGTTTGTCCCCAGTGTCCCTGTTGGCACCAGGTGACACCTGACCATGAGCACGGGGGCAGCACTGGGGGGGTTTGTCTCCTCTCAGCGTTTTGACTGACATCTCCTTCCTGAATAATTCCAAAGGGCTCTCCAGGAAAGCCTGGACCTGATGGAGACCCGGGCTCCCTGGGCCCAAAGGTGAGATCTGGGGCTCTGGGGGGACCCTGAGTGTGTTGGGGGCTGGTTGGAGCAGCCATGGGGGTGAACAGCCCTGAGAGGCTCTTGGCTGCCAGGGGGACACCTGGGGTGAAGCCACGGGCTCCCCAAGTCCCATGGACTCACCTGACTGCATCCTGGCAGTGGGGGTTCACTAATTCCCTCTTTTGCCTGGCAGGGGCTGCCTGGGAAACCTGGCTTGGAGGGGCCACAAGGACCTGTGGGCACCTATGTAAGGGATAGACCTGCCTGGGGAGGGGGTGGCTGCGCTGGAGGGAGGCTGGAGCAGCCTCCAGCTGGACACTCACCATCCAGCCACCTTCTCCCAAACCCCTGGAGGTGCCTGGTGGCCCTGGATGCCTCCTAACACCCTGCTCTCCCCAGGGCTATCCAGGACCTACTGGTGACCGTGGAAGGCCAGGGCGCAGGGGAGACAAGGTAGGGCTGGGACACCCAGCACAGCACTGGGGGGATGCAGTGGGGTGGGAATCCAGGCTCTGGAAGCATTTCTGGGCTGTTGAACTCAATGGCTGGGCCTGGGTGGTGTCCCCAGTCTCCATCTGTGGCAGGAGAACAGCTGGAGGTGGCTCCCACATTGGGTGGGTTCTCCATCTGCCCAAACTGCTGTGAATTGTTCTAAGAGCTGGTTGGGGGTTTTTTTTGTTTGTTGTTTTTTTTTTTTTTTGAGATTTTTTTGAGAGGTTATTGCATTAAAACACACAGAGGAAAGGAAATCTTTCGTCCCTCCTAACAGGGAGAAAAGGGAGCCCAAGGTGCCCCAGGATTTCCAGGAAAAGCTGGTGCCAAGGTGAGTTTGCTGCTCTTCTGGGCAGCTCCAGCCCCCTGGAGAAGCACCCAGCAAGTCACCTGTGCCAGGCTGGGAATGGGGAAAATGGGAAATCTTTGCTGTGGGAAATTTTTGCCAATCTCACAGCACCAAGGGGCTAAACTGGAGAGAGGGGCTCAGATGTTCTTTGATGATGTTCTTGCCCCCCAGGCCCTGCCAGGTCCCCCTGGTCCACGTGGTGCTCCTGGCTCTCAGGTAGGGCTCCCCATGCTCCCCATGGGGCTGCTCCACTCCCTCTGTGTGGTCCCTGTGACCCTGCAGCACATCCCATGTGCTGCCTGAAGGGTCCATGGATCCATCCCAACCCCCTCTGTGGGAGCAGGCAGGACCTGCTGCCATTCCTTGCTGGCTGGGTCCTGTCCTGGTGCTGCACAGACACCATTGGGGTGGTCCCAGCACATGGGAGTCCCATGTGAGTCACATCTGAGTCCCCCTTGCTGAGCATCCTTCTTGTTTTAGGGCAGAACTGGTGATCCAGGTCCTCGAGGGCTCCCAGGGCTGCCTGTAAGTGGAGAGCTGTCCTGGGAGGGGGTGGTGTCCAATGGGATGAAAGATGGGTGCCCACTGTGGAAACATTTTCACCACTGGGCTGGTTGTGGGGCAGAGAACAACCCAAACCCAGTGTGGGTGGCTGACTGGTGACAAGTTGGGCACAGAGACAGCAGTGCCCTCCTACAACTACAGTAACCACAGAAACACAGTAACCACAGAAACACAGAATCAACCAGGTTGGAAAAGATCTCTGAGATCATCGAGTCCAACCCGTGACCCAACCCCACCTTGTCACCCAGACCATGGCACTGATGCCACATCCAGGCTCTGCTCAAACACCTCCAGGGACGGGCACTCCACCCCCTCCCTGGGCAGCCCATTCCAAGGGCTGATCCCTCTCTCTGCAAACAACTTCTGCCCAATGTCCCACCTAAACCTGCCCTGGGGCAGCTCAAGGCTGTGCCCTCTTGTCCTGCTGCTGGTTCCTGGCAGCAGAGCCCGACCCCCCCCAGCTCCCCCCTCCTGTCAGGGAGTTGCAGAGAGTGAGAAGGTCTCCCCTGAGCCTCCTCCTGTCCAGGCTGAGCCCCCCTGAGCAGCTCCCTCAGCCTCTCCTCACAGCACTTGTGCTCCACGCCCTTCCCCAGCCTTGCTGCCCTTCTCTGGACCTGCTCCAGCCCCTCCATGTCCTTCCTGAGCTGAGGGGCCACAACTGGGCACAGCACTCCAGGGGTGGCCTCCCCAGTGCCCAGCACAGGGGCAGAATCCCCTCCCTGCTCCTGCTGCCACACTGTTCCTGATCCAGGCCAGGATCCATTGGCCCTCTTGGCCACCTGGGCACCCCTGGCTCATGTTCAGCTGCTGCCAGTCAGAGCCCCCAGGTCCCTTCCTGCCTGGCCCTGTTCCCCCACTCTGTCCCCAACCTGTGGTGCTGCAGGGGGTTGTTGTGGGCACAGTGGCCCTTGGCCTGGTTGGACCCCATGAAGGTGAGGGGCACCAGGACCCCCCTGGAGCAGGTGGTACCTTGCAGACCCCGTGGTGGCCCAACCGCATCAGCCATGGGGCTCCCACTGGCTTTGTCCTCCCTGGAGCTGCAACCAGAGCTGCTTTTCAGGCTGCCTGAGTGGTCTTTTGGCCTTGCAGGGTGTTCCTGGCATGCGGGGGCTGGATGGCATTCCCGGGAAGCCTGGCTTGGCTGGAGAACCTGGGGCTTCTGGAGCAGCTGGTGCTGCTGGCCCACCTGGGTACCCGGTGAGTGCAGCCCTCCCTCATCCATCCCCAGCACATCCCCTGGCTCACAACGGGGTGCAGGGACTGTGCTGGTGCAGCACTTTTGGGGAGCTCCCTAAAGCACCCGCGGGAAGGGAAGGAAAAGGGAAGGTGGTGAAAGGAGTTTGAGGAGCTGGTGTGTGGCTTCTCTTCCCGTGGGCATGTGGTGTGTGCCAGGGCATCCCAGAACCAGCCCAGGAGCTCGAAAGGCCTCCTGAGTTGGGGCAAATTGCTGCTGATGTGGGTTGTTTGTTTGCAGGGCTGGGAAGGTCCAAATGGACGTGAAGGGCCTTCAGGGATGAGAGGAGAGAAGGTGAGGACAGAGGAGGGGGTTGGTTCCCTTTGCTGGCCCCAGGAGAGCCTTGGGCTTGTTCTGCTGACCTCCCCATGGCACCCCTCCCAGTTTGACCCCTGGCTTTGCCCGGTGGGATGGGGCTTTACTTCCCTGGTGCAAGGTGGGAGAAGAGCCTTGTGGAGACCTCCACAGCTCTCCTGATGTCTGTGTCCTCTCCAGGGCGATGTGGGAGACCCTGGGGAAGCTGGTGTCTGTGGGCTGGATGGTGAGCAGGTACATCAGCTGGAGAACTGTGTCCTCCCCTCGCTGGGCTGCTCCAGCCTCTGCCTTCCCACTCCAAGGGTGGGAAGTGATGGGAGGAAGCTGCTGATCCTCAGCTAAGCCCGAAGGTTAAAGCTGGGTCTGTGTTGGTGAGGGGTAAATGAGCTGTGCCAGGGCTGGGCTGTGTCTTTCCTCCCCAGGGACCACCAGGACTGCCGGGAATGGAGGGTCAGCCTGGGCCCAAGGGTGAGCAGGTGGGTACCCAAGGTGCTGGGGGTGATGCTGGGGTGGTGCTGGGCTCCCCTGGCCCTGCTGATGCACCTGAATCCATGGGGGGCTGTTTGAAATCTCCCCCAGATTCCTCATGCCTGGGGATTGACGTTGCTGGGAATGGCTGGGAGGGGGGTTCCCTCTGAAGCTTGGTACCTGGAACAAGGAAAACTGGGGTTTTCCCAGTGTGGTGCAAAATGATGGAGGGCAGGGCCAGGCTCGGCTGGAAAAGGCAGCCAAGAATAATCCTGGTTGTCTCCATCCTGTGCAGGGAGAGGCAGGAACCCGAGGAGCTCCAGGTGTCAGAGGGAGCCCTGGGGAGCCAGGGGATGATGGACCAGAGGGGCTTCCAGGGCGGCCTGGGAAGCAGGGGAAGGAGGTAAGTGTGGGACTGTCCCCACAGGGGTCACTGATCCCTGCTGGGGTCCCCTGCCAGGGAATCACAGAACCACAGACTGTCCTGAGCTGGAAGGGACCCACAAGGATCCCTGAGTCCAACCTCTGGCCCTGCACAGACACCCCAACAATCCCACCCTGTCCCTCAGAGCGTTGTCCAAACCCTCCTGGAGCTCTGGCAGCCTTGGTGCTGTGCCCACTGCCCGGGGGAGCCTGGTCAGTGCCCAACCACCCTTTGAGGGAAGAACCTTGTCCTGAGATCCAAACTGACCCTGCCCTGGCACAGCTCCAGCCATTCCCTGGGTGCTGTCACTGCTCACCCAGAGCAGAGATCAGTGCCTGCCCCTCTTCGCCTCATAAGGAAATTTTGGACTGTGATGTCTCCCCTCAGTTTCCTCTTCTCCAGGCTGATGGGGACAGGAAAGGTGCCACCCAGTGCACTGGCTCTGGACAACTCCCCATGGGATGGCTTTGCCACAGGCAGGCTGGGAAGCTCCCATGGAAGGAGGGGGCTGATGCTTTGGGGTCCCAGTGCTGGCAAAGTGCTGCTGGCTGTGCTCAGCATTTCACCTTCACCTTTTGGGCTCCTGTGGGTCACAGCTGGAGTGACCTCCAGGCAAAGCCGTGAGGCTGTGCCTTACCCAGCACCAAAATCCTGGCCAAGGAGGGTGGAGAAGCCCATTGAAGTCAGAGCTCAGATTTTAACCTACCCTGGGATGGGACCATAAAGGAGACAAGGGCCAAGAAGGATTGCTGCCTCACCCACCGGGCACCCAGTGTCCCCACAGGTCGGGTGCCGAGGAAGGGGCTCACCCCCAGTGGGAAACCTTGGGCTCTGGGAGCTGCAGAAACCCCTAGGAATTGTCAAATCCCCTTAATTAGGGTTTCATATCTCATGAACATGACCACATTGACCACTGCATCTGATGTGGGTGTTTCCCTGTGGGCAGGGTGACACCGGTGACGTTGGAGACCCGGGAGAACCGGGACCACGGGGACGGAAGGTGAGGAGTGTCCCCAGCTCTGTCCCTCCTTCCAGCACCTGGGAACACCCACAACCTGCTCACCCTCTGCTGATCCATGTGCCAGAGTGGAGACAGAGCAGGACAGGGGTGCCCCATGTCTGAGGATCCCTGGAAATCCCTTTCCTGAGCACCCCAGGGTGACCTGCTGCCTGTGGCACCCAACGAGGGGGTGACACACATCCTCTCCATGCAGAGATGACTCTCATTTCATTGCTGTTCCTTTTCCACCTTTGTGATGACCCCTCTGTGCCCCTCTGAGCAGGGTGATGCTGGTCCCAGGGGCCTCCCTGGAGTGTCTGGTCCAGGAGCTGCCACGGGGGAAATCGGAGGAAAAGGCCACAAAGGAGAGAAGGGCCGAGAAGGTTTGATGGCAAGTACAGAGGGGGGCTGGGCTGCCTCACCCAGAGTCCCCACAGGAGGGGTGCTGGGTGCCCTGGAGGGGGCTCATCCCCAGTGGGAAACCTCGGGCTCCAGGAGCCACACAAAATCCTAGGAACTGGCAAATCTCCGTAATTAGGGAATTTTGTCTCATGGGCACAACCCCAAAATGGGGTCATGTTGGCACAAGAGGATGGTTTGGGCTTGTGGGGCTGTCCAGGATTCCAGGATAATGTTGCCTCCAGTCAAATTCCAGCCCCTGCTGGGCTGGGACCCTGCTGAACACATCTCCCTGTGTCCCAGGGCCAGGTCGGGGTCACTGGAGCTGCAGGACCTGCTGGAGCCAGAGGATGGTTTGTAAGTCAGATCATGACCCTCCTGCCCTTCTACCCATCACCGACCTGGTGTGGGGACGTGGGTGTGACTGGGAGCACTGGGAAGGACTCCAAGTCCATCAGGGACCTGTGTGTGACTGGGAGCACTGGGAATACCCCCACCTCCACCATGGACCTGTTGGGGGGATGTGTGTGACTGGGAGCACTGGGAATACCCCCATCTCCATCATGGACTTGTTGGGGTGATGTGTGTGACTGGGAGCACTGGGAAGGGCTCCAGGTCCATCAGGGATCTGTGTGTGACTGGGAGCACTGGGAATACCCCCACCTCCATCATGGACCTGGAGGGGGATGTGTGTGACTGGGAGCACTGGGCAGAGCTCAATCAATGGAGCTTCTTTGTGCCCTGAACAGGGTGGGACAGGACTCCGAGGTCCTCCTGGGCTTGACGGTCCCGAGGGAGAGAAGGTACAGTGGGATTGATGGTTCCAACCCTCCATCTCGGGGTGAAATGCCCTTTCCTGGCCTTTTCCCAAGCTCTGCTGGTGCTGGATGTGGTGGGACTGGGTGATGGAGGAGCTGGGTCAAGCCTGGGCAGGCTGGTGACTGGGCTGGGGACACTCCTGCCTTGACTGAGATCCAAAGTCAGCAAGGCACGGAAGGAGTTTTCCAAGGATAGAGCTCTTTCTCTTTCTTCCCCAGGGAGATCCAGGACCACGAGGCACGGATGGACCTGCTGGTGCTGCAGGATCAGAGGTACTGATGTTTGGGATGTTGTAGAGCCGGGGAGCTGCCAAAGACTTTCCCAGTGCTCCACCATTTCCAATACAAACCAAAGCCAAAGGATTTATTCTCCTTCTCTGCCTGGGCCAGGAGGGGTTTTTAAGCCTTGTCATGGGCTCCCAGAAAGTGCTTTGATGTTTGGGGTGGAGACACAAGACCCTTTCAGTCTGTCACCCAGGGGTGCCTCATGGAAGACCCATTCCTGCTGTGGAATCTGTTCCCTCCCACGTGTGCCTGCTGCTTCCTTGGCCAGCTGAGCGTGGTGTGAGGGGGGAGGATGCTCCAAGTGCCCTCAGAGGTGAAGGACATGGTGGTGATGGGCTTGTCCTAAACCCCCAACACTCCCACAGGGACTCGCTGGAGATGATGGAGAGAAGGGAGATGGTGGCAAACCGGGTCCAGCGGTGAGAACCAGCCGAACTTCCCTGGGAAAGAGGTTTGGTGGCATTTTGGGGTGGAGCAGCAGAGCCTGGGGCTGGGGCCGTGTCTCTACCAGCCCAAGTGCCAGCCATGGTTTCTGACTCCAGCCCTGCAGTGGTTTTGTAACTGAGCCAATGCTTCCTTGGGTTCCCTGGAGCCAAATCTCCCTAAAGGAATTTGAACACAGCAATTAAAACCATGCCAAAGCACTGTGGCCTTTGTGCAGGTGACACTTGCCTATCAGTCTGCCTGGGACAGGTCCAGGGCTCTTGTTTCCCCCTTCCCTGAAGCAGATCTCCCAGTGTCCATAAGGTTGGGGGGCTCCAGGAGCCTCCCAGTGCCCAGGAACACTTGTGCTGCCCCAGGATGTGTGTTCTGGTCATGGTGGTGACACACACAGAGCCATAGGTGTGTTATCAATGCCCTGTCCTATTTGCATCCCAGTTTTCCCATCTTGCAGTGCTGCTCTGCCCAGGCAAGACATGTCCTTATTGTGGAATCCCAGAATCCCACACTGGCTTGGGTTGGAAAGGACTTTAAAGCTCATTCCACCCCCTGCCATGGGCAGGGACACCTCCCACTAGCCTGGGCTGCTCCAACCCCATCCAACCTGGCCTTGGACACTTCCAGGGATGGAGCAGCCACAGCTTCTCTGGGCAACCTGTGCCAGGGCCTCCCCACCATCCCAGGGAGGAATTCCTTCCCAATATCCCATCTAAAGCTACTCTCATTCAGTTTGATCCCATTTCCCCTTGTCCTGTCACTCCATGCCCCAAACCACACATTAATGAAGTGAATTCCCTGAACTCAGGGGGCTGGCTTTGCTGGGAGAGGCTGGGATGTGGGATGAGCTCCAGGGGGGTTTGCAAAGCCGGGTGTAGCTGAAGCTCCTCGAGAGGCAGCTGCTCAGACCCTGCTCGGGAGGGTTTGGGTGAGCAGTGCCCCCATTTCTGTGCCCCCCAGGGCTCAACAGGGGCTCAGGGGCTGGCAGGTGCCCCTGGGCTCCGGGGATACACCGGGCACGAAGGAGCCAGAGGAGTGACGGGCACCAAGGGAAAGCCAGGCCGGCAGGTAACTCCTCCCTGTGCCATGGGGACATTCCCATGGGGGGACATTCCCATGCAGGGACATTCCCTGGCACAGCTCCAGCACCAGAGAGGGGAGAACAACCCCAGCCCAGCTCCCAGGGCGAGGCAGGTGCTGTGCCCTGTCCCCTCTGCCCTCCCCTGGTGCCAGCCTTGTGTTTTGTCCCCAAATGGTCTCAGGGTTCTCTTGGGCCCCCGGGCGAAGCTGGAGTCATGGGGCTGAGTGGCACTGAGGTGAGTGGGCTCCTCTGCTGCCCCATTCCCTGCTCCAGCTTTTCTCATCCCTCCACCTCTGTGCCCAAACCTGCCCTGGGTTCGCATGAATAACCTTAGAACTTATTCTTTGGATTCGAGTTGGATTTTGTTTTCATTTTTAGGGCCTGGTGGGTGCAAAAGGGGAGCCAGGCAAGCCAGGGAAACCAGGACAAATGGTGAGGAGTGGGATGGAGCCCTGCTGGTGCTCCCTGGCACAGTGGGATGCTGGGATCCCCTGGCTGTGCTGAGGTCCCACATGAGTGGCCTCAACCCCCTTCCTCCTGCAAAAATGCCAGATGGAAGATTCCAGCTTGGAGCATCCTCCTGGGCTGGCTGGTGGGCAGGGAGACTGAGGGGCATCCCTGGCACAGTGTCCTCACAGAGGCCTTTCCTTCTCCTTCGGGATTTCAGGGCTCTCCAGGACAAGCTGGTCCTAAAGGATGGAAAGGTCGCAAGGGAGAAAAGGTACCCCCAAAATCCTCCTGGGGGGCTGGCAGGGGGTGGCTGAGCCTGAGCTGGTCAATCCCATGCTGGATCATGGAGAGAACCCAGAGGGAACCTGGAAGGACCTGTTTCTCCCTGCCTGGCAAGCACAGGATGCCCTGGGGCTGCCTTGGCCAGTTTTTGGGTGAGGGGCTGGCAGATCTCCCCAGCTCAGCCCCTGGAGCTGCCTCCCCCCTGGCTCAGGTGCCCCTGGGGGGGCACAGGGGACTTTGGTGTCCTTCCCCCAGTGCCTGGTGAGCTCTGTCCCCACTTCCATGCAGGCACAGCTCCTCTTCCCCACTCCTGGGCTGGGAAGTGGCCAAGCTGCTGGAGGCTCCCATCTCCCATCTCTTCTTCCCCCAGGGCGACGTGGGGCAGGAAGGGCAGGAAGGGGTCCCTGGAGAAGCTGGCAGGAGGGTAAGTGGCACTGCTGTCCCCAGGGAGGGTGGCAGGAGGCAGGGAGCTTTTTGGGGAGGTTTTCCAGAGGGGCCCTGGTTTACTGGGGGCTCAAATCCCCCCGGGGGGGGGGGCAGCGAGGGGGCTCAGGGGTGGCCGGATTATTTTGGAATTGTTCCCGAGTCTTTGATCTGTTGTTCCCAGGGCAAGCGAGGCAAGATGGGCCACCAGCCTCCGCGGGGTCCCCGAGGGCACAAGGTAGGTTGGCTTTGCCCCCCAAGGTGAGAGCTGCCCTGGTAACCTGGCACTTCGGGGGTGCTGCCAAGCCAGGGGTGCTCCCACCCAAGTCCTTGGATTAGAAGAGGACAAACCAATGCAGCTGGAGGGCTCTGTGTCCCCCGTCCCCCCCAGCCCTAGGAGGCGGTCTTCCACACCCCCAGCCCTCGTGGGGCACTGGAGCATCACCCCACACCTCTGGGCACACCAGCCAGGGCCTTTCACTTTTGCATTTCAGGGCTCCCCAGGCGCCAAAGGGCTTCCAGGACCCCAGGGCCCCCAGGGAGCCTATGTGAGTATCAGCATGGGGGTTTTGGGGTGCTGCTGCTCCCTCTTTGACCGCCGTGGGCACCACTGTGTGACCCAGCTCTGTGGGCACCCACATTTTACAGACCCATTTAAAACAGGGGGAGATTTTAGGTGGTTCATCCATCTCCTCTTGTCTTCTCCTCCCAAATTAACCTCCCAGCAGGGTGTGTGAGGTCAGCCAAATCCCATCAGTTCCAATATGTGGCTCTGGAGACCAAATCCTCCCTTGCAGGGCAGTTTCTGATGCCAAGCAGTGCTGAGCACTTGTGCCCACCTTCCCATGGCTGGAGGGACCAGCTGTGACCAGCACTGGCCAACAACAAAAAAAAAGACTCAAATATTTCTTTTAATTGCTAGAAATACTTTTTTCTCCATTTAAAAATAAAAAATCCCAACTTTGGCAACTTCCCCAAAGAAATCCAGGATGTTCCCAGCAAGCCAAGGCACCTGAACTGCATTTTCAACGGGGTTTGCTGGGGGACCCTCCCGCAAGCAAAAATCAAAGACATGATGAGAAAAATGCCTCAGAGTTTCTAAAAATTAGAAAAATGTCTCAAATTTTCTAAAAATGCCTGAAATTCTTAAGATCCTGGCAGCAGCCTGGGTTGTGGTGAGGTCCCTCCTTGCCAGGGAGCAGCTCAGCCACAGGGTGATGTGGTCCCACAGCTCATCCCACGTTTCTCTCTCAGGGCATCCCAGGGCTGAAGGGCATGAAAGGAGACCCTGGACCCAAAGGCCACAAGGTGGGTGACATGTTCTGAGCACAGTGGGAACCCTGGGTAGTGTTTCATTTGCTGGATGGCATCGTTTATTCTCCTCTTGTTGAATCCTGATGGCTACAACATCCTTCTCTGGGGGTCGACCGTCATGTCTCCCCTGGTGATGGGAGATGGAACCTTTAGATTTGCTCCCAAACCAGGTCTTTTTCCAGCCTCTCCATCCTCCTGGAGTGGCAAGAGCAGTAACAGTCTTTTAAATCAGTTATTTAATCCCCTGCTCTCAGCAGTGACGCTGATGCAGCACAAACCTCCTCTGTGCCATTCCTGAGGAGCTGATGGATCCACCCTTGGCTTGGGAAGCCAAGCACATCCTCACCACCCCACCCCTCAGCCCCACAGCCATAAATAAGAGTGACAAGCAGTCCCTGGTGCTGGGGAACTGCTCACATCCTTCAGGAAAATGAAACCCTGGGAATCAATAGAGCTGGAATTCCTTGGGAGCTCAGTGGCAGCAGCAGGAGCTGAAGGGCAGTGCCTGAAGTGGGGGCAGAGGGGAGGCTGTGGCAGCCTGGGCTGGGGTTTGCCCCCTGCTCCACCACATTTCAGCGCATTTCTTTATCTCCTGAAAGTGTTTCCTGGGAAATTCTGAGGTTTTCCTGAAAGATACTTTAGTCTGGGATAACATACTTTCATTTTGGCAGCTGAGCATCATCCATCCCCCTGCCTCCCTCCCCAGCAATGTGGGTGCAGCTGATCCTGAACCCAAAGAATGGGGGGGTTGGGGGTTTGTTTGGGGTGGTTTTTTGGCAGAAATTTTGCAGCCAGCATTGGGGAATTTTGCATTCCCATAACTGGGAGCTTCCCATTTCCAACCACTTGCTGGAGGCCAGGAGGTGTTTGGCTTTGGGAAATATCCCCAGGCTGGTACCTCCTGCCAAGGTTCAGGCAGCAAACCCTCCACTGCTCACTAGAGCAGGGGTCCCAAAACCCACCTTGCAGGGCAGAGCCCCCCACCCAGGCTGCTGTCCTGGGGGATTCTGCCCTTCTCTTTGTCCCCAGAGCTCTCCCTGACTCTCTTTTAGGGTGAGAAGGGCAGTGTGGGTGACCTGGGCCAGCAAGGGGACGATGGCTTCAAGGTGGGAGATGGTTTTTCCTCTTTTCCTTCCTCCCTCTGGTCTCTTGTCACCCTGTGTGACATCCTGCCACATCTCCTAGGGCAAGCCAGGACCTCATGGCATCCCTGGGAGGCCGGGACCCAAGGGAAAACAGGTGAGAGAAGGATGGAGAGGGATGTCAGGGACTAACATGAGTGTTTGGGGTGAATTCCTTGTTTTTCCGTGCAAAATCTGTGGGGAATGGATTGGGTTTTAGAAGGATGTCCCTTGCAGTGCCCTGACCACCTCTGGTGTCTTTGCAGGGTGACACTGGCCCCCCTGGCCCACAGGGACATCCTGGAGTTCCCGGGACACCGGTGAGTCCTTCACCCTCCGGGCAGTTTTGGGTTCACTCCTGGCCCCACAGGGTTTACACCGGGATGGGCCTTTGATCCCACCTCCCTCCCACTTAGCTGGGCCTTGTTCTTTCCTTCCAGGGCTTATCTGGACCCAAAGTAAGTAGTGGGGAGTGGCTGGAGCCGGGATCAGCCCCGGCACAGGGAACCCTTCCCTCCTTCCTGCTCCCTGGGGTGCAGCTCAGCACAGCAGCATCTCCACCCCTTGCTTTCCTTCCCTCTTCCACCTCATCCTTTGGCAGGGGCTGAGGGGCTTCCCAGGATTGCCAGGCCCCAGGGGCACACCGGGAAGGCCGGTAAGTGGAGCCACTGGCACCAAAATTTGGGTCCCTCGCTCCCCCAAATTTGGCAGCGAGGTCCTGCCATGCCATGCCATCCTGCTGGCAGTGTCAGAGTGTCAGAGGAGCAGCCAATGTTACAGCACTGTCACTGTCCCCCAGGGTCTGGCCGGCCCCCCTGGTCCCAGCGGGCCCACACTGGTGCTGTCCCAGGAGGAGCTGCAGGTGAGGGACTTGCCATCCCCTTTGGGTTGGTGCCACCCGGGGAAGGAAGGGGCTGACAGAGATGCTGTCATGCTGCTTCTGAGGTCCCCTGTGCACAAGGACCAAGCAGATGTTGTTAATCCCTCTCCCACCACGCCTGTCCTTGTCCCCTGTCTGTCCCATCCCTTCCCTCAGCCCCTGAGGATGCTCCTGGCCAAAATAAGAGAGGGGGGCTAAGATCACCTTGATATATCCCCCTCTTTTTCTCTTAGCACCTCATTTATTCCTCCAACCACCTGAACTACACTGCAGTCTGGGCTCTGCTGGACACCCTGAACCAGGAGCTCCAAGCCCTCATTGAGCATCCCAATGGCACCAAAACCAACCCAGCAACCACCTGCAAGGAGCTGCTGCTGGCACACCCCAGCCTGCCTGATGGTACCAGGGGGCATGTGGGGTGCCCACCATTGGCTCTGGGTCTGTCCAGCTCTCCAGAGCCTGTGCAGGGACAGGCAGCTCTTTGCAATTAAGAGGGAACAAGGATTTGGGGGACGAGGCCAGCTGGGTTTCATGGGCATCCCTGGGGAAAGGGGCTGGTGGCCAGGATGGATGGAGGTGGCAGCCAAGGATGTGCCACCAGCTCGGGTGGGTGGCATTGTGTGGCACCCTTCCTGTGCCAAAACCCGGGTGCCAGGAGCTCCCCTCTGCCTCCCTGCAGGGCAGTACTACATTGACCCCAACCAGGGCAGCCCCCAGGACGCACTGGTGGCCTTCTGCAACTTCACAGCGGGGGGGGGAGACCTGCATAGCCCCCGTCCACAACCAGGTACAGGGGGGCTTTGGGGGGGCAGCTTCAGCCTCGTGTTACCCCTTGGGGTGGGTGAGGGTTGGTGGGACTGGAGAGAGACTGTGTGCCCAGTCCCTTGCCATGGTGACCCCTGCCATGGTGGAAAAGTTTGGAGGGAGGATCCTGGTCACAGCGTGTGCCCAGGCTGCAGGGACAGGGTTGTATGCTGGCTCCTTGTCCTGGCAGTGGCACTGGCACCTGCTGGGACAGCATGGCACGGTCCCTGCTTCCCACAGGTCCCCATCAAGGCTTGGCTGAGCACCTACACCTCCAAAGACACCTTTGAGTGGTTCAGCACCCTGCCCGGGGGCTTCCTGGTGAGTGCCCAGCTGGAACAACCCGGGGGACACGGAGCCCCTCTCATGGGTCAGGGGTCTCCTGATGCCCATCCCGCTGTGCTGGGCAGCACCCAGATCACCCTGGCTGTGCACGGCGGGATGTGACAGCTCCTCCTGCAAGGAACTCCAAAGCAGTGCCTCGGCAGCTGAATCCTGCCCGGTTTGGGCCGGGGAGGAGCACAGCCCGCTCCAAGCTTTCCCCGCTTCCCGGTTTTCTCTCCCGTTGTCCCTGCAGCTGGAATACAGGGGGGCCAGCCCGGTGCAGCTCCGTTTCCTGCGGCTGCACAGCAGCCTGGCCACCCAGAAGGTGTCCTACTCCTGCAGACCGGCCCCCGAACGGGGCCACCCCCAGCCCGCCAAGGAAATCCGCTTCCTGGCCGACTCCCGGGAGCAGAGCTATGCGGCCAGCCTGCAGGGCTGCCTGGTAAGCCCGGCCCTGGCACACCTTGCCTGTGCCCGCAAGAGCCCCCCGACATTCGCAGAGCCCCTCGGCGTGTGTTTGCACCCCCGAAGTTTGGGATGGAGCTGGTGGGTGAGGCTTCACCCGGTGGGATGGGCACGGAGAGCATCCCTGCGGCCAAGGAGCTGCCGTGGCTTTTGGGAGCGGGCTGGGATGTGGCAGGGGGTGAGGTGGACACGGGGAAGGTCACTCCCTGGAAAAGCCAGGAAGGGCTGGGGATGGAGACTTTGCATCCACCGGGAGCCAGCAAGGGGACAGCAGGCGCTCTGAGGGGATCCTTGAGGATTTTCGTGCCGCTCAGGTGCCCCTTTGTGCTCCTTTCAGCTGGACAACGAGTCCTCCATCACCGACACCATCTTCCAGTTCAGCACGGAGGAGCTGTCGCTGCTGCCCCTGCGGGACCTGGCGGTGTTTCACAACGGCGACGCCTCGCACCAGTTTGGTTTCACAGTCGGACCAGTTTGCTTCAGCTGAAACCGGTGCCACCCAAACCGAGCCAGCCGGTTCCCTCCCCGCCCAAGAGCCATCTGTGGGGGCTGGGGGTGGCACGGGGCTCCCACCCCCTCCCCGGAGCTGCAGGTTCTCTCCGAGATCCGTGTTTGTAGCTGCGTTATGCCACGGACTACACTTCCTTCTGGAGTAGAAGAATATTGTTTACAGAAGTCGTTTCTCCATAAATTATATATATATATTATATATGTATATATTATATATGAGAAGGTGCTGATTTAATGACTGCTTGGGGGAGGTTTATATAATTATAAGCACTGGGAACTGTCTGCTGAAGAAAAAAGAAAGACAAGGAGCAGACCTACAGCCAGCTTGGGAGGAGGGGCAGGAAAGGGAATTCTCTTTGCCAGGGTCAAGTGCACAAACACCTGGAGCCTCATTTCCCCAGGACCTGTCTGAGAAGCCCAGTCAACCTGGGAGAGCTCAGCCAGGTCCATGTGGTGCTGCCAGTGGCTGCTCCAGCAGCTCCAGCCCAACCAGACAGCAGGGGCTGCAAAGGGGTGAAAAATGCACATCCCCCCAAATCTCGCCTCTGTTTTGGGTCTGCAGCTCCCAGGGAGGGTCAGAGAGGGGTTTTAGTGGTGTAGAGCAACACTGAGCTGCACAGCAGTGTTGCTGGAGCAGGAATAGCAGCCCTTTGCCCCCAGTGCTGCAGCATTTCTCCTTATCACCTCATTTTTGTTATTCCCAGCTCTTTTTCCCTCTAACAATCCCACTCTCGCTGGGCTGTGTGGCCCAGGCCGAGCCCTGAGGGTAGAGGGTTCTGCAAGTGGCACCTGAGCCGTGGTTGGATTCCCAGCACCCCCATTTCTGTGGTGCACAGCCCCCAAACCCCCCAGCCCTCAGCTGGCTTTGTGCTGCACCCCCGATTTTCTCAGCACCCGTCGGTGCCCAGGCTCCGATGCCCTGACTCACCTGTGCCCAGGTAAGCTTGGGCATTGCTGCCAGTGCCAGCAGAGCAGTGTGGCAGCCGGGCCAGACCCTGCACTGGGGCTCAAGGAGAGCAGCAAAGGGAGCTTTTAGGGGGGCACAGTCCCTCGGGAGTGATTTAAGCAATGCCAACTCGCGTGTGTGGCTGTGCTGCTCTTTACTACCTCCATCCCATGTGTAGCATCTTTTTTGGGACGCAGGAGCACTCCCTGCTGGGTCACCACCTTTCTGGCCCAGGGGGATTTGGGGTGGCCCCTTCCAGCCTCCTCTAGGCAGGGTCTGAGCACTTTGAAAAGGGATTTTCCACTCTGGTATTGAATTTCTGCTCCCTGGGTGGATTTCTAACGTGCTGGGTGTCGTGTGGGGCACTGCCCTGTAAAGCCCCTCTGGCCCTGCCCTTGGGGCTTTTCTTCCCTCTGGAGCTGCTCCCACCCCTGAAAGAACCCCCTGGCACTGCCCCCTCACCTGCAGCCAGCCATGGGCACACAGAGTCAGAGGTGCAGCCAAAACCACTCTCCCTGCCATGGAGAGACTCCCTTTCCACAGGGAGCTGGAAGGGGAAGAGGAGCTGGTTGTGCCCAGAGGGTGGGCACTGCCTGTGGTGTGGGCAGAGGTCAGGTAGTGCCATGGGGCTGGCATTTCTCTGGATGCTGCAGACAGACCCTGTGCAGCAGATTGCAAAAGGAAAATTCAATTCCAACTCCAGGGGCACATTAGATCCTGGGCAGAGAATGGCAACCAGCAGAACACGGCAAAAAAACACAACTTTTTTTTTTAAATTATTATATTTTTTGCACAAATTGCTCATTTTTGCAGCATTTTTCCCTGTGTTTTTGCACATGCACACTCCCCATCTCGCCAGCCATGCAGGCCACAACCCACAGGAGCTGTGGCTGCCAAGGAATGTGTTTATTTTCCATGGAAACTTTTGAAATATTTTAAAGAGAATTAGCATGTTTGTAGGTTTATCCAGTGTTTTTTCTTACTTCAAGCAGCAAACACACCCTGAATAACTCCAGTTCCACCTGTAAGGAAAAATTCACTCACTACCCAAAGCAGTGTTTTGCCTGTAACCTCTTATTTCCTTCCCAAACTGGGATAGATACACAAATCCCCTGGCAGGCACTGGGTACCTTTGTGGGCATCAGCACCTGCTGGCACTTGGGGAAACTGAGGCAGAGGCAGCTCAGCACTCCCTGTTCCCTCCATAAAGCCACAGCTGGAGGGAAAGTTTGGTCTTCCCTTTGGTCTTTCCTGCCATAGAATCCCAGAGTGGTTTGGGCTGGAAAGGACTTTAAAGACCTTCTCATTCCACCTCCTGCCATGGGCAGGGACATCTTCCACTGTCCCAGGTTGCTCCAAGCCCTGTCCAACCTGGCCTTGGACACTCCCAAGGATGGGCAGACACAGCTTTTCTGGGCAACCTGTGCCAGGGCCTCCCCACCCTCTCAGGGCAGAATTCCTTGCCAACATCCCATCTCTCCCTGCCCTCTGGCAGTGGGAAGCCATTCTCCCTTGTCCTGTCCTTCCACGCCCTGGTCCCAAGTCCCTCTCCGGCTCTCCTGGAGACTCTTTAGGCACTAGAAACTTTGAGGTTTCCCTGGAAAATTCTCCTCTCCGGGAGAGTGAACCGCCCCAAAATCCCTTCTGTCCAAACCCGGGGCGGCAGCAGAACGGGGGGAGGGGGGGGGGAAGGAAAACCAGCAGAAAAACCCGTGGGCGCTGTGATCGGGAACTGGGAACGGAGCCAGCAGGAAAGGGGAAGCAACAGGGGATCGCGGAGGGGCGAGGACCCCCTTTCCCAGGGGATGCTGAGCCCCGCCGGGATGCGGGAGGGACCGGACCAGCCCCGCCCCACGCACTACAGCTCCCGGGGAACCCCGCGAGCGCGTCACCGACCGCGACAGCGACACCGACAGCGATAGCGACAGCCCCGAGACAGCCCCGAGACAGCGACAGCCCCGAGACAGCGCCGAGACAGCCCCGGCTGGCACGGCACGGGCCGGGGCCCGACCGCCACCATGCAGGTGAGCCCGGGGAGGGGGACGGGGGGCCCCGCGGGTGCGCGCCCCGGCCGCGGATGGTGCCGTGAATCCCCCTGTAAACCCCCCCTGAGACCTCGTGAATCCCCCTGCGGGCGCCTTAAATCCCCCTGGAACCTTCCTGCGGGCTGAGGCATCGCCAGTGTCCCGTCCCCCCCCGGGTACCGCCGCCTGCCTCGGTCCCCCCCTCGCCCCGGTCCCCTCTCGGCCCCTGCACCAGCCTGCGCACGGGGGGGGGGGGATGTCGGTCAGTCTGTCAGTCTGTCAGTCTGTCAGTCCGTCTGTCTGTCTGCTCCTCGCACCCCCGTGCCACCACATCCCCACTCGAAGGCTCTCCCGTGTCCCTCTCCCCCGTGTCCTCTGCTCCCATGTCCCACTCTCCCGTGTCCCTCTCCCCCGTGTCCCTCTCCCCCGTGTCCCTCTCTCCCGTATCCCTCTCTTCCGTGTCCCTCTCCCCCATGTCCTGTGCTACCATGTCCCACTCTCCCGTGTCCCTCTCCCCCGTGTCCCTCTCCCTTGTGTCCCTCTCTCCCGTGTCCCTCTCCCCCGTGTCCCTCTCCCCCGTGTCCCTCTCTCCCTTGTGGGGAAGGGCTGTTCTGGGAGCACCATCAGGCTCTTGCAGCAGGAGCTCAAGGCGCAGCTCAGGCCCTGAACTGCCCCCCCTGCAGCAGATTTGCTTTGTGCTCCCAGCTCGAACATGGAATTCGATGCCCCATCCCTGGAAGTGTCCAAGGCCAGGCTGGACGGAGCTTTGAGCAATCTGGGCTAGTGGAAGGTGTCCCTGCCCATGGCTTTGAAGTCCTAGATGAGGATGAGCTTTAAATTCCCTTCCAACCCAAACTATTTAGTGATTCTATTTGGTGTTTAAGGCTCCCGAATCCCCTGGATTTCCTGGCAGCAGCATCCCTGCGAGGCCCAGAGGGTGGCTGACACCATCCCCCAGGGGAATCCCAGTTTGGGGACCCCTCCCCAGACCCCAGCAGGGTGCTGCAGCATTCCTGGCTGGGATGATGTGCTGCTCAGCAGGGGTCAGGTGCTGCAGGGAGGCAGGTTTGTCCCGATGGGCAGGCCCAGGTGTCCCGGTCGGACCGGAGCAGCAGGTCGGGATGCAGCCTGACCCTGCTCCGTGCAGGCACCCCTGGTTTTTCTCAGGATAACCCCAAAATTGCAGTGGGTTCAGCCACTAAATGCACAGGAGCAGAGGCAGCACAGGGTGTTTTCCAGCAGCTGTGTTTCCTTGTGAAATTCCTGCAAGGTGTGGAGGAGGCACCGGGAACAGCCTCGCCTGGGCAACTGCTCAACCCCTGCTGCGTGGGCAGGTGGGTGAGGGCAGGAGCTCATCCCTCCATCCAGCATCCCTGGGCCTGTCACATCACTCTGGCAGTGGGGACTCTTCCCTGTTGGAAACAGTGCAGGGATTTTTAGGACTTGCCCCCTGGACCTTTGCCCACCACACCTCTCCCAGCCAGGTGCCATCTCTGGAGAAATCCCACTGGACTGAGGGATTTGCCCATGCTGGGCACCCAAAGGCACACGGCTTCAGCCCAGGCTGGGAGACCTGGTGCAGGGAAGGGGATCTTCTGGATCTTTGGAAAAGGCTGCCCAGGGAAGTGGTGGGATCACCGTCCCTGGAAGTGTTCAAAATACATGGATGTGGCACTTGAGGATGTGGTTTAATGGTGTTCGGACTCGATGATCTTGGAGGGCTTTTCCAACCTTAATGACTCTATGATTCTGTTCCCTCGTCCCTAAAACAGTCACCTCCTCCTTTCACCACTCTGCAGACCTGTGGGTGAAGCCTGTAAAGGAGAAATAACTTCATTTAAAGGCTAATTACCATTAATCCATGGCCAAAAGGAAGCTTAAAAGGGTGAGCCAATTACATGTGCTAATGTGCTCTGGGTAGAGAGAGGCCGAAGGGTGTAATTAGAGCTGGTCTCTAATGACTCTTGGTTATTGGAGGGTATTTCTGGCTCAGGCCAGGCCAGTCAGTCACATCTGCTGGTGTCAGTAACGGTGGGGACACTGCCAAAGCCAAATCAGTGTGGCAGAGATGCTCCAGGAACACTTCCTAGAGAGATTCACCAAAGGGAGGATAAAAGTCCCAACAAAATTCCACTTTTTGTGGTAAAACGAGCAGGACTTTTACCTATTGGCAGGAAGCTGAACATGAGCCAGGGGTGCCCAGGTGGCCAAGAGGGCCAATGGATCCTGGCCTGGATCAGGAACAGTGTGGCAGCAGGAGCAGGGAGGGGATTCTGCCCCTGTGCTGGGCACTGGGGAGGCCACCCCTGCAGTGCTGTGCCCAGCTCTGGCCCCTCAGCTCAGGAAGGACATGGAGGGGCTGGAGCAGGTCCAGAGAAGGGCAACCAGGCTGGGGAAGGGTCTGGAGCACAAGTGCTGTGAGGAGAGGCTGAGTTGTGGCTGAGAGGCTGAGCCCAGACAGGAGGAGGCTCAGGGGAGACCTTCTCACTCTCTGCAACTCCCTGACAGGAGGGGGGAGCCGGGGGGGGTCGGGCTCTGCTGCCAGGAACCAGCAGCAGGACAAGAGGGCACAGCCTTGAGCTGCCCCAGGGCAGGTTTAGGTGGGACATTGGGCAGAAGTTGTTTGCAGAGAGAGGGATCAGCCCTTGGAATGGGCTGCCCAGGGAGGGGGTGGAGTGCCCGTCCCTGGAGGTGTTTGAGCAGAGCCTGGATGTGGCATCAGTGCCATGGTCTGGGTGACAAGGTGGGGTTGGGTCACAGGTTGGACTCGATGATCTTGGAGGTCTTTTCCAACCCAGTTGATTCTGTGATTCAGTAACTTGGCAGCTGGGTGTGAGCTCTGCAGCTGGGTTTGTTACACAAGAGCAGTTCTTGTTCCTCCTGTTTCAGCCTGATGAAGGAGGGGGGTGGTGCCTTTCTAGGTCCTGGCAGCCCCAGTTTGGACAGACAGACAATGCTCCTCTGCCAGGGAGCCACATTATTGGGTGGTCACAATGGCTCTGGGTGCCCTGGGGACTGACATTTTGGGTGTCCCAGCAATGCAAGAGGTTTCTCTGTCCTGGGAGGTTTCCCATCAGTCTGTGGGTGGTGTCCACCAGCCTCCACCTGCCCCCACAGACCTTCCCTTCTCAACTCTGGGCTGGTGGAGTCCTGGACTGGTCTCTCTTTGCCACAGGGCTAAACTGGTTTTTTCTCACAGCCCAGACATGCACAGGAGCTGCTGCTGGAGGTGAGACCTGTCCTGCTGGAGGTCAAGGGAAGAGTTTAGTCCCGTCAGCGTGACTGGGATTGTCAGTGCAAGTTCCTCTTCCTGTTTCAGGAACTGGGGAAAAAAGATTGCACCATGTGGTAAAACCCCAGATGAGCATCAGCTCAGCCCTCTGGGGTGGTGGGTGAGTGGATCCCGAGGGGTTCCTCGTGCTGCCCTTTCCTTGGTCTCTTTTCCAGATGACCTTCTATTTCTCGGACACGGCAGTGCTGCTCTTTGACTTCTGGAATGTCCACAGCCCCACAGGTAGGCCCTGGGACACCCACCCACCCATCCATCCATCCATCCATCCATCCATCCATCCATCCATCCATCCCTCCCAGGGCTTGGAAGGCACCTTCCCATGCCAAGAACAGGAAACAGGGAAGTGTGGGAAGCACCCCATCTCAGCCTGCCAACCCTCCCAGGTCACTCAGTGATGCCTCAGCTTCCCAGTTCCTTTTACACTGATTTTTTTCCCTCATTAAATTATTCTCCCAGCATCATGTTGTAACTCCCACATTTTTGTGGAGTCGAGGCCAAGTTGTATATTTTTTTCAGAGCAACCCCCTCCAAAAAATCCTCCCTAGGAATTTCAAGGGGGGAATTGGGCTAAATAAATCCTCCACCACTTGTCAAACCTGCTGCCCAACCCTGATGTCAGGACTCCTCCCCCTTATCCCGTGGATAAGGATCCTAAGGATCCCAAGCATGTTGGGACACCCCCCTGGCCCCAACAGCCCCTCCCTGGTGATGGGCAGCGTTGAGGTGTCTCTCCTGCAGTACCACAAACCCAGCCTGAGTTCCACAAACCCAGCCTGGGTACCACAAGCTCAGCCTGGGTGTGTGAGCCCAGTTTGGGTGTGTGAGCCCAGCCTGGGTGTTTGAGCCCAGCCTGGGTGTTTGAGCCCAGTTTGGGTGTGTGAGCCCAGCCTGGGTTCCTTGAGCCCAGCCTGAGTGTATGAGCCCAGCCTGGGTGTGTGACCCCAGCCTGGATGCTGTGAGCCCAGTCTGGATGTTGTGAGCCTAGCCTGAGTGTGTGAGCCCAGCCTGAGTGTGTGAGCCCAGCTTGAGTGTGTGAGCCCAGCCTGGGTGTGTGAGCCCAGCCTGAGTGTGTGAGCCCAGCCTGGATGCTGTGAGCCCAGCCTGAG